CGGCACTGCACTGGCCATTGCAGCCAATTGGGGAGTGAATCATCGGATGAAGATCTTCCTCTCTGTATATCTGACTTTGCAATAAAAATAAATAAATCTTTTAAAAAAAATGTTCCCTCATATTTTTTTTAATAAAGCTACATTAATTTTAACACTAGAAAATAAAATGAAACTATTTTCAAACAAAAATAAAGCAGATTTATGGAGAATTCTGGGGTTTTTTTTTTAGATTTATTTATTTTTATTGGAAGAGCAGATATACAGAGAGGAGCAGAGACAGAGAGGAAGATCTTCCCTACGATGATTCACTCCCCAAGTGACCACAATGGCTGCAGGTGAGCCAATCCAAAGCCAGGATCCAGGAGCTCTTCTGAGTTTCCCATGTGGGTGCAGGGTCCCAAGGCTTTGGGCCATCCTCGACTGCTTTCCCAGGCCACAGGCAGGGAGCTGGATGGGAAGTGGGGCTGCCAGGATTAGAACCGGCACCCACAAGGGATCCAGGTGTGTTCAAGGCGAGAACTTTAACCACTATGCCATCGTGCCGGGCCTGAGAACTCTGATCTTAATTATTCAGTGGAAAACTACAGGGATAAAATGAAGTTTGGGTACCAACACTTCATGGAAGCATTCTTCAATGAGTTCAGCAATGACACTTTTTCCTTGATTATGTTCATTCATACAAGAAGATAAGATAGTAGCCAATAATTATGATAAAGAATAGCAAAAATTAAATGCCCAACCCTCAAAAATGATATTTACTTCTGCAATGTTGTTTTATTCTGTGGCTAAACTGACTTAAACACACATATATCTAGAATTATTTACAATACAGCTAGTACATCTTATCCACACCTCTGCTGTACATTTTATTACGAAAGCAAGAACAATTTTATGTACACTGTCTGGCCCGCTAAGCCCCAAATACATTCAAGCATCTCTAATTTCTTAACTCTTGTAAACTATTAGGACATTAGATTCTTAAAACAAACAAACAAAAATTTTTTTTTAGTTTTAGTGTTGCCTGTTTTTCTTCCTTCTCATCCAGAAAGAGCTGCCGGTGAACATCTCAAAATCTCTTATATGACACTCTTGGGTCTGGCGTTGTAGCCTAGTCCTCCCCTTGAATGCGCTAGGATCCCTTATGGGCGCCAGTTCTAATCCCGGAGGCTCCACTTCCCATCCAGCTCCCTGCCTGTGGCCTAGGAAAGCAGTCAAGGACAACCCAAAGCTTTGGGACCCTGCACCCGCGTGGGAGACTCGGAAAACGTGCCTGGCTCCTGGCTTTGGAGCGGCACAGCACCAGCCGTTGTGGTCACTTGGGGAGAGAGTCATCCGATGGAAGATATTTCCGGTCCTGCCCACAAGCTCCTGTAAGATTTCCCCTGTCTGTCCTCCTCTCTGTTACCTCTGCCTTTCAAATGAAATCAATAAGTGGAAGAAACAACACAAAACTCACTTTTTTAAAACCAAAAAATAGCTAAAGTTCATTAAGAACGTGTGAAATAGCAGGAACTGTCTAAAGGCTTTACACACAAGTTTTAAGTCCACAGAAGTGATGGGAAGAACCCAACAACGCAGAGGTGCACACAGGTCCTAGGGCGGGGGTTCCCTATCAGAACGCAAGTACCTCCCCTCCCCCCTTGTCCTACAAAATCAAAACGCATTTCACAGAACCAACAGGAAACACCAATTCACGTTGACGTGACCAGTCCACAACAGCTCGCTTTCCTCAAAGCCCATTTCTCTGAACGGACTTAACAGGGCGGCCCTGCGGCTGCCCCGATGAAGGCCCCACGCCGCGCTCCAGCCTAAGGCGAGCGGGCCCGGCAGGGAAGCTGGGGTCCCGGCTCCCCAGAGCCTCCTGCGGGGGTCTCGGGGTCCGCACCTCGAATCCGGCCCCCTCCCAGCCCACGTGCACGGGGACGTGGCGGGGGCGGCCGGCCGGTAGGTCCCTTTGCCATCTAGTCTAATGTTTGGGCGGCGGGACTGGGGACAGACGGCCCTCGGGTGCCAGCTGGCACGGAGTCGCACATCGGAACGCCACAAGCACCTCCGCTCACACAGGGGCTGCCGGCGGACACACACACACACACACACACACACACACACGGGCGGCCCTCTCTCTCTCACACACACACACACACGCACACACGGGCGGCCCTCTCTCTCACACACACACACACACACACACACACACACACACACACACACACACACGAGCGGCCCGGGGTCTCTCTCTCACACACTCGCACACGGGCGGCCCGGTCTCTCTCTCACACACACGGGCGGCTCTCCCTCTCTCTCTCTCACACACACACACACACACACACGGGCGGCCCTCTCTCTCTCACACACACACACACACACACACACACACACGCACGCCCGCCTCACACTCGCGGGCCTGAGGCGGGGGCGAGCCGCGCTCCTTCCCCTTTCCTCTCCTTACCTCGGCCCCACAGCGCCCGGCCTCCGATGGCCAGGACCACAGGCCGGGCCAGCACCGCTCCCTCGTGGCGCTGGACGTGCGCGCCGCGGGCCTCTGGGGCGGCGGGAACCAGCGCCAGCCGCCTGCAGGCCGCAGACCCCGGGGCCTAACGGGGCCGACGCCGGGGATGCCGGGAAGGCCGGGCGGCCGCCGCGAGTGCGCAGGCGCGCCCGGCCCAGGGGCGGAGCGTGGCTCCCTCTGCCCGCCGGCTCCTGCCCCGGGACGGCATAGCTGCCCGCGCCCTACCTCAGGCCACGGGCTCATCCCCGGCAAGGGCCAGGCACGATCGCGAACCTGAGCGTTCACGGAGCCCCCGTCCACCCACCCTGAAAATCTCCGTGCCCAACACCGCGCTATGTCTCAGACGTTGTGCGTCAGATTATTTGATCACTTTGGATTTCTATTTAATATTGTTTCCCTAGTTGAAGGAGGGTGTGACAGATGTTTGTTTTCATTTTCATCCTACGTCTTCCTACAGAGGAAGGAGAAGGGCTGCTCATTGCTGTCAGAATACACCAGCACCCAGGCCACGGGGACTTTGGGGACGCCTTAACCCCGCTGTGGGTTGGAGTGCTCCGACGGTGTTACTTGATGGTTGGATGGCCCTGAGACTTGGCTGGCTTCGTTGCCCGCGGGTCTGAGGGCACAGGGACCTGTGGAGGTGGGCAGAAGGGGAGGCTGCAGAGCTCTGGGAACCACGCGTGCTAGCGTCTGCTTGTGTCTGGGATACAGTCCTTGTATGAGATCAGGTGGCAGCGTCCTTGCGGTGTGTGACTCCCGACCCAGCCCGTATCTCGGGATCCTCTGCCCCTTCAGTCTGGCAACAATAATTGTACGTACACTGCCTGGCCTCTCGAAAGCCTCAATACATGGAAGCATCTCTAGTTTCTTAACTCTTGTAAACTGTTAGGGCATTAGAGTCTTCATCATCCCATACGGGCACCACATTCACATGTCAGCGGCTCCACTTCCGGTCCTGCCCACAACCGCATGTAACATCTCTCACTGTCTCTCCTTCTCTCTTGTACCTCGGCCTTTCAAATGAAACCATTAATGGGGAGAAAACCCTTTTTTTAAAAACAAAAAAAAAATTTAAAAGCTCAGGTTCATTAAGAACCTATGAAACAGGGCTCCACACGGGAGCCCAGCAGGTAAAGCCTCTGCCTTGCACATACTGGGATCCTATATGGTCGCCGGTTCTAATTCCAGCAACCCTGCTTTCCCATCCAGCTTGTGGCCTAGGAAGGCAGTCGAGGATGGCCCAAAGCCTTGGGACCCTGAACCTGCATGGGAGACCTGGAAGAAGCTTCTGGCTCCTGGCTTTGGACTGGCGCAGCTCTGGCTGTTGTGGCCGCATGTAACATCTCTCTCTGTCTCTCCTTCTCTCTGTATATCTGCCTTTCCAATAAAAAGAAAATAAATCTTAAAGGAAAAACCTGTACAAAATAGCAGGAACTGTCTAAAGGCTTTACACACAAGTTTTAAGTCCACAGAAGTGATGGGAAGAACCCAACAACGCAGAGGTGCACACAGGTCCTAGTGTGGGGGTTCCCTATCAGTTCAATAGCCAAGATGTTGAAGGTGAACGCAAGCGCCTCCCCTCCCCCCTTGTCCTACAAAATCAAAACGCATTTCACAGAACCAACAGGAAAAACCAATTCATGTTCATGCTTACATCTAAGTAGGCCACACCATCTTGTCTCTCCAGCACCCTTTTCCTAGAGAGGACGTTGAAGGACAAGAACTTCTTCTGGGTCTCCCATGTGGGTGCAGGGTCCCAAGGCTATGGACCATCCTCTGCTGCCTTCCCAGGTCACAAGCAGGGAGCTGGAAGGGAAGTGGTGCCGTTGGGATACTACCGGTGCCCAAAAGGGGTCCCAGCAGTTGTGAGGATTTAGTCACTAGGTCATAGCGGGTGGCTTGAAGTGTTGTCCTAAAAATCATTTTGTTTAAGTTTTCAAATGTATCACAGACTTTATTCAGTATAACCTTTTTAATTTGTGTGGTATCTATGATTCCAATTATCAAACAATGCTGTTTGTCTTTTCCAACATTTTTGTTCAGTGTCACCAACGTTTATACTAAATCCAGGATTTCTGTTATCATAAATTACATGATGTTGCAAAATAATGCCAATCTTAATAAAAATCCTTTCTGCTTGGCTATTACACATGTAATAATTATAGATAACTTGCAGAGAAAAAGAAAATTATCATCACATGATTAAATTTCCACAATCCGAGATCAAGAGAAAAAGGAGCTTTTGGCTTCAAAATCCATTTTATTCATAGGGTGTTTCTTTAACATGATTCTTCCTGGGCTGAGCAAACTGTAGTTAGCAAAGAAGACAAACCATTTTGAGCCACATGAGAGGGCTTCCCACAGATTTCATGTTCCTTGGCTTTTCACCAGTACAAATTCTGATGCCGAATAAGTTGTGAGCCGTAGTTAAAGTTCGTCCCGCAAGCCCTATATTCGTAAGGCTTCTCATCAGTATGAATTCTATGATGACTAATAAGCTGTGAACTCTGAGAATAGGCTTTTCCACATATCTTACATTCATAGGGTTTTTCACCAGTATGAATTCTCTGATGTCTAGTAAGGTCTGAGCCAGAACGAAAAGCCTTTTCACACTCCTTGCACTCATACGGTTTCTCGCCCGTGTGGATTCTCTGATGTTTAATGAGCTGTGAGCTCTGACTAAAGGCATTCCCACATTCCTTACATTCATAAGGTTTCTCCCCAGTATGAATTCTTTGATGCTGAGTGAAGTTGGAACCGCTACTGAAGGCCTTCCCACATTCTTTACACGCGTAAGGCTTCTCACCAGTGTGAATCCGCTGATGACGCGTGAAGTTTGAGCCACTGCTAAAGGCTTTCCCACATTCCTTACATTCATAGGGTTTCTCACCTGTGTGGATTCTGTGATGTCGGGTAAGGTCAGAACCACAAATAAACGTTTTTCCGCATTCCTTACACTCAAATGGTTTCTTGCCAGTATGGATTTTCTGATGATGCGTGAGTCTTGAAGGATGTCTAAAGGCCTTCCCACAATCCTTACATTCATAGGGTTTCTCAACGGTATGAATTATCTGATGTTTGGTAAATTGGGAGCCAGGTCTAAAAGTTTTTCTATAGTCTCCTGTTTCACAGTATTTCTCTTTCTGATTAATGATTTGTTGTAAAGTAAAGGATGAATGCTGATCGAAAGTGGGCACTTCTTCCTGAGGGATTATCAGGTGACGGAAGCCCCGAGAGCCACGCTGTTTCTCAGGCTGGCCGTTGCATCCCCAGCCTTCTCTCAGACCGGAACACTGACGGTCATGTCCTGTAAGCCTTTCCATGATCTTCCACTGGGCTGACTCTAAATCATCAATTTCCTTCTTCAGAAATTTTTGGGCCTCACCTCTTGATTCTAGGGGGGAAAAAAATCACGCATTTTTCTTGCTGAGAAAAATGAAGGTTCTATTAAAATAGGAGAATGAAGCTTCATTTTTGAAAAATGGAGGAGAAAAAAGTGAGATAAAAGTGAAGACATACAGTGTGATGAAGATAGTGATTGAACAACAAAACCATTGATTTTTGAAACATTTCTCTAAATCAGGATTTCTTATGGGAATTTGCAAACCACTCATATTCCTTTTTAGCATTATCCCCACTGTTACAGGATGACTTGACTCATGGAACAGGATCTGTGCTACTTACCAGGGCAGTGGGCAGAACGGAATGTACAAGCCTAAGGGAAAATTTCTAGGGGTTAGTGCGCTATGATCCTGATTTGTTATTACATATTATATTTTAGTGGAACAGAGGGGAAATCACTGCGGGGGGAGAGGTGACCTTGGGGAAGGACACGGGCAACCCCAAAACCTATGAAACTATATCATAAAACCAAATAAAATGTATCGTAAAATAATCTCACACAAAACTGCGCCCTCTATCCCCTTGCTGGATTGTTTCTGGTTTTATTTTAGCACTTACCATTTCATGATAAATAATACATACTTGGTCAACATATTTTGGACAAATGTGCTAATGGGTTTTCCTCCTTAATACTAATTTTCTCCATATTTTCCAGCTTTAACTTTTCCATAGACACAGCTCTTCATTTCTAGCATTGGTAAAACACACCCAAACCTCTCCCAGTAACTTGTACATGCATCTACTCTGTTTTTACATCTTGAGCCTTTACTTTCGGTTAAATTCTCTTTTAATTTTTTTTTCTTAAAAAGATTTATTTATTTTTATGGAGCAGTTAGACATACAGAGAGGAAGATCGACCATCTGCTGATTCACTCCCCAAATGACCGCAACGGCCGGTGCTGAGCCAATCAGGAGCCAGGAGCTTCTTCTAGGTCTCGCACACGGGTGCAGGCCATCCTCAACTGCTTTCCCAGGTCACAGGCAGGGAGCCGGATGGGAAGTGAGGCCTCTGGGATTAGAACCAGTGCTCATATGGGATGCTAGGGTATGCAAGGCGAAGACAGTAGCTATTAGGCTATCGCAACAGGCCCCAAATGAGAAAATTTTTATTAAAAGTATGAATAAATTAAAAGTTTAGGACTTCTATATCCAAAAAAACCTAGCCAAAGAAAATAAATCTGAGCCTGAAACAATGGCTGACTGGCAAATATTTGCCTTGCATGCTCCGGGATCCCACGTGGTCACTTGCTTTTGTCCTGGCTGCTCTACGTCCTACCTAACTGCATTCTTGTTGCCTGGGAAAGCAACAGAGGATAGCCTGAAGCTTTGGACTCTGCACCCACAAGGGAGGCTCAGAAAAAGCTCCTGTCTCCTGGCTTCAGATCAGCTGAGTTCTGGCTATTATGGCCACTTGGGAAGTGAATCAGCAGATGGGAAGATCTTTCTGCTTCTCCTTCTCTCTGTACGTCTGCATTTCCAATTTTAAAATCTTTTTAAAGTAGCCCTTGGCAATTTTAGAAAAATAAAAAAAGTATTTCAGAATATGATAATGCTTTTTACAAGAGTAAAAACAAAAAAGAATGAAAAGCTTGGAAAGAATTAAATAAGGACAGAAAGGAATATTATTAGAGAGGAAAGAGAAGGGCACCAGGTATTTAGAATTGGAAGAGAAGCCTAAGAGGAGAAAAGCAGGCAGCACTCAGGTAAGGAAGAGAGGTGAGGCTCACGCTAAATGAAGCCTTTGCTTATACAATACGCCAGCGTCTCTTTAGGGGCGCTTCGGAGAAAGAAGCCAAGGTGAGTTACTCCCCTGGTAGACTGTCATTACCCACCATGCCTACGTACCTGGCCACCGGCTTCCTGTCAGCCCTCTGGTAAGCAGCCAGGGCGCCTTCCTTTGCTCCAAGCAGGAGATCACATTTGGTTTAGAAATGGAATATCCTGCTCAAAAAGAAGTAATGAGACAAATTATGCCCGGACTATTCTAGAATTCAAACCTAATATGATATTAAAGGAAGAGCCAGAGGAAGATGTAGTTATCTTATGAAATGTGACAGAAGATCTGAAACTCCTCCTAGAGCTCGATGTAACTTCCCTTTTCTGTCTCTACAATATTGAGGACATTTCGGCAAAGACAGGTTATAGAAATGCAGGCTTTGAAAGGCAGGTGAGTATTTCATACTGGAAGGGACATCTTGCAAAGGCAGAAGATGAATAATTATGGACAGACTTCCTTACCCACAGAGAGCAGGTTGCTGTAATTCTCCAACATCACGTATCTGTATAAAGCTCTCTGGTCATCATTCAGGCACTCCCACTCCTCTCGAGAGAATTCTACAGAAACATCACTGAACATCACTGACTCCTGCCAAAATAAGCATGCACATGAATCAGTTAACAAAAAAATAGAAGTGTTTTGGTGATGAAAAAAGAAAAAGAGTAAGGCAGACAAAGCAAAAGACAATCAGTGGGTCCCCATGTCATTACCTAGTGACTAAAGTCCTCGCCTTGCATGAGCCGGGATCCCATATGGGTGCTGGTTCTAATGCTGGCTACTCCACTCCCCATCCAGCTCCCTACTTGGGGCCTGGAAAAGCAGCAGAGGATGGCCACGACCTTGAGATCCTGCACCCATGTGGGAGATCCAGAAGCTCCTGGCTTTTGATTGGAGCTCAGTTCTGGCCGTTGTGGCTACTTGGGGAATGAAACAGCAGGTGGAAGATCTTTGTGTTTCTCCTTTCTACAAATCTGACTTTCCAGTAGAAAAATAAAAATAAATCTTGGGCCCAGCATGCTAGCCTAGCAGCTAAAGTACGTCCCTTGTACGTGCCGGGATCCCATATGGCCACAGGTTCAAATCACAGGGGCCCCGCTTCCCATCCAGCTCCCTGCTTATGACCCGGGAAAGCAGTCGAGGACGGCCCAAAGCCTTGGGACCCTGCACCCATGTGGGACACCCAGAGGATGCTCCTGGCTCCTGGCTTCAGATTTCATCAGCTCCAGTCATTGTAGCCACTTGGGAGGTAAATCAATAGATGGAAGATCTTCCTCTCTGTCTCTCCTCCTCTCTGTATATCTGACTTTGCAATAGAAATAAATAAATCTTAAAAAAAAAAAAAAGAAAGAAAAGTTAGCATGTGAATGCCCGAGATGAGAGTGGTGACTGCAAACAGCTAAGCGCGAGTGAATCACTGCGCTTCCTGCGGTTCTTCCTCCGAAATCGCCTCCTACAGTGAGACATTCCCATTTATCAATCCAGGCTGCAGAGGCACAAAATCCAGGCCAGAGTTTTACCCAAACCAGTGGTCCTGCACACACCAGTTCCAGCATAGCTACCACATGGTACACCATGGCTGTAGGGGCTGCTTCTCGCCTCCCCTTTCCCAAACAGCTAAGATAAAATCTTCAAACAAGGGATAAAGACAGGACACTAAAAATGTCTAAGGAGCAGAGTAAATCAGATAAAAGGTATCAGAGATCAGAGAGGGAATGGAATTGTGAGGAAAAAAAATTGTAAGAAAAATGTTTCAATATGTTGATAGAAAACAAAACTGATGAAAGAAAATCCAGGGCAAACAAACAACTAAAGGGAAACTGCAGCAGGTGCGGGGGCAGTCAGGCAAGACAGAAGCAAGAGACCGAGAAAATGGACGAGGAAGGTGTTTTTTTGGTTTTTTTTGTTGTTGTTGTTGTTTTTTTTGAGAGGGGGAGAGACAGAAGAAAAGATTTTCTGTCTGCAGGTTCACTCCCCAAGTGGCTACAACAGTCAGAGCTGAGTGAATCCGAAGCCAGGAGCTTTTTCTTACTTTATTATTGGAAAACCCAGGTCTGGGCCTGGCGCAAAAGCCTAGCAACTAAAGTCCTCACCTGTATATTTGCAATAAAAATGAATCTTAAAAAAAAAAAAAGAAAAGAAAAAAAAAAACCAGGTCTGTGGAGACAATCAGGCTTTTCCCTATGAAGTACAGCTAATCACTCATCTCTATCCCATGAAATCACTGCCAAACTGAATCAATGAACAAAGGCAACTACCACACATTTCTGTCCTATCAGGATGTCTGGCAGAAGTCTGAGAGAGCAGACTTAGGAAAGATAGGAAAGACTTAGTACAAGAGTATGCAGCACTGTTTGTTGAAAAGAAAAAAGGACTAGAGAAGGGAACGTGTTATTTAACAACAGCAAAAACAACAACAAAATAGAGAAGCCCGGTTCTTAGGGGACAAACCAGCGGCAGGTCAGCTAGTTTCAGTAAACAATATACAATCTGGGCCCTGCATCATAGTCTAGTGGCAGAAGTCTTCGCCTTAAATGTGCCAGGATCCCATTTGGGAGCTGGTTCTCATCCTGGCAGTCCTGCTTCCCACCCAGCTCCCTGCTTGTGGCCTGGGAAAGCAGTCGAGGACGGCCCAAAGCCTTGGGACCCTGCACCTGTGGGGGAGACCCTGAAGAAGCTCCTGGCTCCTGGTTTCAGATTGGCGGGGTTCTGGCCGTTGCAGCCACTTGGGGAGTGAATCTTCCTCTCTGTCTCTCCTCCTAGCTGTATATCTGACTTTCCAATTAAAAAAAAAAATACATATATATATATACACAATCCGTTTATAGGAAGAAATAAGAATTCTTGATAAAAAATTACCAAGCAATTTTCTTATGGATTTTAATATGATTAAAACATATTCAAAGAAACTTGCTATTGATCACTTGGCTGGCTAATACTTCACTGTAAATTAAGGGCATTAAATTTCAACAAAGTCTAGCAACTTCTTGTTTATATAATTATTTATACTAAGAGAAATTTTTTAAATTGGCATCTTAGCTACACTCTCGTTTATAATAAAGGGAATGAAATTTTGATACTGCTTATTAACCAAACTGAAAGATTTTTAAAATTTTATTCTTTATAATGATTACATGGTTGATCACAATGGGAAGAATGAAGGTTTAGGGAAAATCAGGTGAACTTACTGTTTTCAAATTTGCTACCTCTTGTTATATCTGGAGGAAGGAGAGAGACAAAAGAGAAAGCCCCACACGACTCTCCACACCTCCAGGACCCAGAGATGAGGAACCACCACCTCATACCAACCCAGTGTCTCCACGGGTGCATATTCTGAGGGTTCTGCCCAAGTGGCTTGGATAGGTTTAAGTGTTACTTTTGGGCCCGGCAGCGTGGCCTAGTGGCTAAGTCCTCACCTTGAATGCACTGGGATCCCATATAGGAGCCGGTTCTAATCCTGCCAGCTCCATTTCCCATCCAGCTCCCTGCTTGTGGCCTGAGAAAGCAGTTGAGGACAGCCCAAAGTTCTGGGACCCTGCACCCGTGTGGGAGACCTGGAAGAGGTTCTTGGCTCCTGGCTCTGGATCAGCACAGCACCGGCTGTTTCGGCTCACTTCGGGAGTGAATCATCGGATGTAAGATCTTCCTCTCTATCTCTCCTCCTTCTGTATATCTGACTTTGTAATAAAAATAAATAAATCTTGGGCCTTGTGGCATGGCCTAGTGGCTAAAGTCCTCGCCTTGAATGCACCAGGATCCCATGTGGGCTCCGGTTCTAATCCCAGCAGCTCCACTTTCCACCCAGCTCCCTGCTTGTGGCCTGGGAAAGCAGTCGAGGACGGCCCAAAGCTTTGGGACCCTGCACCCACGTGGGAGACCCAGAAGAGGTTCCTGGCTCCTAGCTTCGGATCGGCATAGCATTGGCCGTTGCGCTCACCTGGGGAGTGAATCATGGGACGAAAGATCTTCCTCTCTGTCTCTCCTCCTCTCTGTATAACTGACTTTCCAATAAGTAAATAAATCTTTACAAATAAATAAATAAATCTTTAAAAAATAATAATTAAATGTCACTTTTACCGATGCAAAGATAAAGCCACCCTCCTAATGTCCACAGGCTGACACAGTAATCCTCAAGTTCCCATTCACTGGGATTTTTTGCTGTCATCGTTTGACTGGGGTAGTTGTCTAGTTTGCTCTGTTCCTCTTCTGCTACAGCACCAAAGGATGTGCCATATTCTCCTTTTACAGCTGGGCCTGTGTCCACTTTTCACTATGTAGGAAATGCTCTTTCAGGTGAGCCCAAGGACCTGGGCCAATCATCCCAAGCCTCGACAGATCTCCCACCCCTGGGACTCACGAACCTGGCACCTACCTCACAAGGTGACCCCAGGACCCAGGCCAGATGATCCGAGCCCCACTGGATCCCCTACCCCTGAGGCTCACTAACCCGGCGCCCCCTCACAGATGTGCCCAAGGACCCGAGCCAGGTGACCCAAGCCCAGCTGGATCCCCCTAAGTCCCGCCACTGGGTACCCCACCCTAGGGCTCATGAATCTAGAACCCACCTAATAGGCTGACCCCAGAATCCAGGCTAAGTGACCTGAGGCCCTCTGGGTCTTCCACCCCTCGGGGTCCACAAACCCACCACTCTCCTTGTAGGTGGGCCCAAGGATCTGAGCCAAACCCGAATCCCACCAGATCGCCCACCCCTGGGGCTCACAAACTCAACACCCACCTCACAGGCAGGTCCCAGGACCTGGACTAGGCGAATGGAACCATGCCCAATGGGGCCTCCTCCCTGGGCTCACGAACCCAGTCCCCACCACACAGGTGGGTCCCAGGACCTGAGCCAAGCTACGTAGGCCCTGTCAGATCCCCCATTTCTGGGACCTGGCCCCTGCTGGCCCCAGACTGGCATGATTGCCTCACCTCAGCATCCACAATCTTACTGCACAACCTGGCCTGGTCCAGCCTGACCCCTGTTCCTGTTCCTGCTGGTGGGTGTTGCAACCTATCCCAGCCCAGCTTGATTATTGTCCCGACCCTAATGTGAACTGGCTGGTGTTGTGGCCCCCTCTGGTTCCTCCTGCCCCTGTCCTGGTTCTCTGATCTGCCAGTAGGTGTTATTAACTGGCCCGGACTGGTCTGTCCCCAGATCTGATCCACGTATATGCAGGCAGGTACTGTAACCTAGCATGGTCTGGGCTGTTCCTTGCCTTGATTCTTGTGCCTCTGCAGGCACCTGCAGGGGTTGCATCCTGATGAAGGAGTTTCCCAAGCTCCTCCATCAGGTCTCCTCCCAGTGACAGTTTCCCTGCCTATCAGTGGGTCCCTGGCTCAGAATGACTTCGTCCATCTCCTGTCCTGGCAAGAACACTGGCCTTGCTCAACTGGCCACACCCTTTTTGGTTCTTGCTGTTGGTTATTTCAGCCCAGCATACCTGGTCCATGCCCAGACACAGCGGGAGTCAAGACCTAGCCTGGCCCATTCTACATCCAACCTGGCTCTCATGAGTACCAGTAGGGGTCGGAGTCTAGCCCAATCTGTTGCTGCCTAAACCAGTGCACTCTCACCCCAGTGGAGGCTGTAGCAACGTCCAGCCCAGCTTGCTGCCACAAATCCTACTGTCATCCTCACCACTGGGGATGAGACATCTGGGATGTCCCCTTAGCTCCCCAGCCAGGCCTGTTCCCATCCGCAGTTCTTGGGCGAGCCAGCAGAGCCTGCAGTTCCACAGGGGTGAGCCCGCATTGCCCCGACAGATTCTGCTATCAGCCCCTCTTCTATGACTCTTACTTCCCCTCCAAACCAACTCAGTGTCAGCCTCCTACTCACACACCCATGTTGTGGACGTACCGATGGAGGGCTTTCAGCTGCAATTCCTAATCTGGACATAAATCCACAGGTCATCCCAAGCTACCACCTATGTGATCCCGCCATTCCCCTGTAAATCCAGAACCATCAAACTGCCAGGGCACACCTCAAACTCCCCTCCCCTAGGGAAAACACGTGACCAAGCTACAAGCACCTGTGCCGGGGAAAAAAAAAAAACCTTCCAGGTGGGGTGGTCCCAGGAAGCCCACTGAGCATCCCTTCCCCCAGGCAGCCGGTGTGCTCGGATGAGTGTAGCTGTGCCGTTAGAAAGGCCTTGGAGCTGGGAATCCTGCAGGCCCACCACGAACTTCCCTCCCATAACGCAACCACGCAGCCCCGCCACACACACCCATTCAGGTAAAAAAAAAAAAAACTTTTTTTAATCTTTTTGTTTGTTTGTTTGTTTTCTTTTTAATACTAATGGGTAACACTGTAAGGAATGAAAAGATTCAAATGTTCCATAAGTAAAAATGATTCCATGTAAGCAAAAGCAAACAGACTCTCACCTGAGCCATGGCTTGGATGCTTGCGGAAAGGGACCTCCACTGGGCTCCTCCTCCGGCTAATGACACAGCTGGGAGAAACAAAAGACGGATGAGATCCACCTGTTCACAGGGTCCTTACACAAACACCTGAGTGGTATTCATGGGAAAAATAAACAAACGTTTCATCATCTTCAGTTTCAAAGACAACCAACTGCGAGCAGAGCAGGATGAATTTGGGCAATACAACAGGACTTGGAGAGTACATTCTGAAACATAAATAAAAGCAAAAAAAAAAAAGTTTTTACTTGAATGATAGTATGACTACACATCATTATATACCAAATATTGGATTTAAGATACACCACACAATAAATCCCAACTAATACCTATTGTGCTATGTAATTAACTTAATAGCTACACTGAGATAGCCATCTCATTAAATGGATATGCCTATTGAAACCAATTATTTTACCTATCAAAACCAATAATAGGTTGTTTTTGTTTTTTACTACAATAAATAATTCTATAATCAATATCCTTGTGCATGTATCATTTTATGTGCAGGTGATCTAAATGATTAATTCCAAAAAATAAAACTACTCAAGATTAAATACATTCTGGGCCTGGCGCAGTGGCATAGCGGCTAAAGTCCTCACCTTGAACGTGCAAGGATCCCATATGGATGCCGGTTCTAATCCCACCAGCTCCACTGCCCATCCAGCTCCCTGCTTGTGGCCTGGGAAAGCAGTCGAGGACGGCCCAAAGCTTTGGGACCCTGCACCCACGTGGGAGACCCAGAAGAGGCTCCTGGCTTCGGATCGGCATAGCATTGGCCGTTGCGCTCTTTTGGGGAGTGAATCATGGGACAGAAGATCTTCCTCTCTGTCTCTCCTCTCTGTATATCCGCCTTTCCAATAAAAATAAAATTTAAAAAAAAAAGGAAAATCAGACTAATCTAAAAATGCCTCTAAAGAGCCCTTTCATATTACCATTAAATTACACTAAGCTTCTTAGGAGTCTTTGATAAAACTTATTATATGTCTTATTATATGCCAGGCATTGTGCTAAATACTGCAGAAAAATCAACAATGCCGAAACACTTGGTAACGGTTAATTTGCCCAAATGCCCCACTCTTCTGGTCTCTACTTTTAGGTTTTTTCCCTGGTTAAATGGAGCTTCTAAGTGCATTACCTTTCAAGCCAAATGGCAAGAAACAAGAATTCCCATTTCAGCCTACATTGGTCACATTTCAAACGTTCCCGGGCTGAATCCTTACTTCTGGGAGATGACTCTCTATGGTGAAGGAAATTAGCTATAGATCATGCTTGGTCTTAACTGTAGACCAAACAGAAACAAAGACTTTTTATTCATTAATGGCTAATTTTCTAAGACTTCAGAAACCTGAAAACATCCCATGTGTAAGGCTAACCAGGGAATTTGAAATGTGAAAGACACAGGCAGGTCGAGTACAGCAGTCTCAGGACCAAATGATGAGGTGTCTTGGAGATGGGATTATCTATGGTCTGGGGAACTGACCACAGACAATTAGCGGGCACAGCATGGTCAGTGGCACATGGCACTGTCCTCCAACCCTCGTGGCCCTTAAAGGTCTCTGGGCGGTGGGAGGCTGGAAGACAGCGCACAACCCAAGGGCCAGAGATCCAGCTCAAGGGAGGCAAGAGGCAGATGCCATTGTGTCTTTATTAAACTCAGCTTTCTGTGAAGTAATATTATCTTACCAAATTAGAAAGAAAATTTCCTCAAACACATAGACATCCATACACAGGAGAATGGTCAAGTATGGTAAGCCCACATACTACAGTACTATGAGGCTGCTAAAAAGTACAAATATTTCATTATTTGTTTGAATTTACATAAATGGCATCTCTGAAATACCTACTTTTGGGAGACACAGTCCACCAGGGGCCTCACAATCTTCTTCCTCTTGCTGGATGCGCTATCAATGCCAGGCTCAGGCTACTTTACTTGGGCCATTTCCAGGGCTGTGAATACAGTTGATAACCTGGAAGGATAAAAGAGAGCATCTCTCAGGAACAAACGGCTTGTTGTTCACCGCTTGCTATAACAGCAATGGCTTCTCCAGCTTCACTGTCCGTCACTGGGCTGTGCAAATGCACTGTAGGAACAGCAACCACGCGAGCCTCTCTCACGCTCGCCACGGGAGTCAAGGGGAAGAGCAACTGACAACAACGGAAACTCATGCTACCTGCTGTAGGAAGTCCTTGCCTTTGATCCGGGAATCTCACGGGGTTTGTTTTCGTTTGCTTTCATGAACAAAGCCAATTTTTTAGCTTTTAAGTAGGAAGAAAATCAAACTGCACAGCTAACATACTTAGGATTGAAATACTGAATGCTTGCTTCATACACTCAAGAAAAAAATATTATTATGTGTTATCAGAATTTATTTTAGTAATGTACTAGAGGGTGGGGAGGCAGCCTGCCACCAGGCTCCCCATGTCAGCATGCGCCGGCCGGGGAAGGTAGCAGGGAGCCAGTGGACTCAGAACCCCAAACATGGAGAGAATTGCAGGTTCCAGGGTCTGACCGTGGAGTGTATGTGTCAGAGCTGGGCCACCCAAGAGGCTCAGATGGAGCAGTGGACAGCACATCCAGATGTACATGGAGGATATGGTAGTCCATTGCAGAGGACACTGGTACCACAACAGAGGATGGAAGACAGAACAAATCGATCAACTACCCCAGGCACGCCTTGGCAGTGAATACCTGGGCCAAAGGAGACTCTAAGGTGGACACTGTCAGCCAGTGGATTCTGGAGACTTCATTGTGCTTGGAGTAGTGAGACTGGCAGCAATACAGAACTGCTGAACTATTGAAACCACCTGAGCAAGACCCTCAGAACATATCCCACATCGGGGACCCTGGGATGGCTGTGAAGCTGGGTATGGCTTTTCCTCCTTTGCCCAGACACAGAAAGGAAAAAAGAGAATGTGAAAAGTGACAAAAAGAATAATGTAATGGAACTCAACTGACAGGAACTCACCTGACACTCACAGGAGCTGGGGTTGGGAGCAGGCTGGCTGGGCCCAGGCTGCAGCACTTGCCAACACATGCAAGGACTGGGACTGAGGGCAGACAGTGCCAAGCAGGGTTGCTGTCCTCACTGGCAAATGTGAGATTTGGGGCTAGAAGCAGGTCTGGAGGGGGGAAATGGGGAACTCCCCTGCTAAGCTACAGCTCAGGCTGGGGAGCACAAGAGCCAGGGCTAGGAGTGGACCAGACCAGGCTGGGCCAGGCCTCAGCACCTACTGGCATGCATGAGAGCCAGGACAGAGTGTGGCCATGCCTGGCTGACCAGGTAGCTGAATCCACCAGTATACGTGTTGCCTGGTACAGGTGAGAGAATATTCTGGAGCCTGTACTGGCTGGAGCACACAAGAGTCAAGTAGGTCACCTCAGGTGAGGCTTCTCAGGAGACTCCCCAACTAGACCACAGGACTCCAAGCCCAGTCTCAGGGAAAATCACAAGGTATGTGTCTGACCTTGGAGTGCATGTATCGGGAGTGGGCCTCCCCAGTGCTGATCCCTGTGCAGTGGACAGCACGCCCAGGTGCACACAGGGAACACGACAGCCAACTCATCCAGGCCAGCAGAGGACGTCGACTGCCTCATCAGAGGATGGAAAGCAGAACAGGTAGGACAACTCTCCTGGTCAAGCTTTGCAGCAAGTTCTTGGATCTATGAATGCACACTGAGGTGGGCTTGGTCAGCCAATAGAGCTTGGAAAGATTTTCTCAAGCTTAGTAACAAAACTAACCACTTCTCAGAACTATTAAAGCTACTCAAGTAACACCCTCAGAACACTCTTCCCCAAATTGGGCTCTCTAAGGCGTCATCAAATGACTGTCTCCCATCCCAGGGTGCTGATGTGGTTTGACAGCAAGGAGCAGCCCCCTCTCCCTCCTCCCCTGTGGACACAGGAAGAAACCACAAAGGGGAAAAAAAAAAGAACTAAGACATGTGCTCCACCGATCTCCCTCTGTAACTGAAACCGTCCTCTGTAACTGAAACCGTCTCACCTTAATCAGAGGCCTCATTGGGAATGCATCCCTGTCAACTATACAAACAATATTAAAAAGAAAATTTAAAAAAATCTTTTAAATATGCTATTTCCTCCCTATTATTCTGGTAAAAAAAAAAGCATAACAACATATCATGTTGTCTAGGCTTTGGGGAAAAACAGGCATATTCCTAAATCATGAAACTGGTAGAAAGAAAGAAAGAAAGAAAGAAAGACAGACAGACAGGAAAAAACAGTTTCAGAGGAAAATCTGGCAATAACAAAACAATACAGATCCAACAATGCCAGCTGTAAAAATCACCCTCAATGCCACTCCTACAAGTACAAAAACATCCATAGATGTAGGGTTAACTTCCCATAGCTCTGTAGAGGAACACTATAAACTACCCTACTATCCATATACAGAGGAAACCATAGAGGATTATATATTAATTTTTTGAAGCTATTTTTAAAAACTATGACTATCTCTTTGAACTTGTGTGACAGCAAAACAAAAAACAAACTCTAAAGCGGCATCTAACGTACGCTCGCTAACACAGAAGGGGCAGGTCATTCAAAAATACACGTAACTCTTCCTTTGTGCAAAAAAAAAAAATACGGGAAGGATATGAAGTTGATTTTTTTAAAAAAGATTTATTTATTTTTATTGCAAAATCAGATATACAGAGAGAAGGAGAGACAGAGAGGATGTGGGCAGGAACCAGGTTCATGTTTTTATACCCAAAATATTGTGGCAGGTACCAACAACCAGGATGTGGGGGATGTGGAACCCAAAATACATCACATGGATGGAAGGAAGTATGGGAATCAGTGACAGCACCACGCTGAGCAGAGAGATATGGGAATCAGTGACAGCACCACGCTGAGCAGAGTGGCGAAGAAAAGCGCTAAGTAAAATAAGTTTGGAAAATGTCTTCGTATACTCTAAGGTTAAGGAAAATAAATTACACACAAATATTCTGTTTCTATGCAGCTGTGGGTAAGCAATCTGAAGCCACTTCATGCGTACGGTAGCACAGGACAAACTGTTGATACTGAAAAACAAGTTCCTCACGGCTAAAGAAAGAAGCACCGAGGAAACATCTGAGGTTGACAGAAGATGCCCCTGTGTGGGTCTTGCTTGTTTCAGCACATTTTGCAAGCAGAGCTGCATTCATCAGGACTATTCTTTCAAGATTTTATGTGGTGAACAGTCTTGGAAGACAATGAGGTCTTTGATCCTCCTTTAGCGCAAAGGGCAGGCATGCCGGCTGTCCACTGTCAATGCAGGTTGCCGATGGCCAGGAGGCGCACGAGCGCCATCTTGTGGGCAGAAATGCCAAGAACCTGTCCGCACCCTATTGCTCTGAGTCCTTTATCGCTGACCCAGAAATTTAGCGTCTTCTATCAGCATCTGTACCAAGCTAACTGTCAGCTTGTACGCAGGGTAACTCTCAAGTAGCTCTTCACAGAGGTGTGGGCGTTTGCATTGAAACTGAAATTATTATGAGGATGAAACACTAAGATTTTTGCATAATTTCAAAGTATCTCTCTAAAATGTACACATTAAGGAATAAAACCAAAGCCAATAATGACGGAGAACAAACCTGACAGAGAGCTTAGCCAAGAGATCAGAGTTAGCACAAGTGGCAATATTTAGTGACACAACTCCTCAGGTGACACACTGAACATGGCATCATTTCTACAATCTTACAGCCAAAAATGCATAATGCAAATTTAACCAATCAGAACGTGTCATACAAGCACCGATCGAAGGACATTCCACCAAACAACTAACCAATACTTTTCAAAAGTGTAAAGGTCATAAAAGATTAAAAGCAATAAAGAACTATCTCAGATAGTTCTGTCCCTCTTACTAGAAAGACTAATGAGGCAAACAAAGAAATCAACATAAAACCTGGGAATGGATCACAGAATAGAAAAAAACATTAAAAATATTTAAGGGCCTGGTGCGATAGCCTAGCAGCTAAAGTCCTCGCCTTGAATGCACCAGGATCCCATACAGGTGCCGGTTCCAATTCCAGCTGCTCCACTTCCCATCTAGCTCCTTGCTTGTGGTCTGGGAAAATAGTAGAGGACAGCCCGGCGCGGTGGCGCAGTGGGTAAGATCCTCGCCTTGCACACCCGGGATCCCACATGGGCGCCGGTTCTATCCCCGGCAGCCCCGCTTCCCTTCCAGCTCCCTGCCTGTGGCCTGGGAAAGCAGTCGAGGACGGCCCAAAGCTTTGGGACCCTGCACCCGCGTGGGAGACCCGGAAGAGGCTCCTGGCTTCGGATTGGCATAGCATTGGCCGTTGTGCTCACTTAGGGAGTGAATCATCGGATGGAAGATCTTCCTCTCTGTCTCTCCTCTCTGTATATCCGCCTTTCCAATAAAAAAATAATTTAAAAAAAAAATCTTTAAAAAAAAAAAAGAAGTCCTCCAGTTGACATGGGTGAGGCCTTTAAGAAAAAAAAAATAGTAGAGGACAGCCCAAAGCCTTAGGACCCTGCACCTGAATGGGAAACCAGGAAAAAGCACCTGGCTTCAGATTGGCTCAGCTTCGGCTGTTACAGCTACTTGGGGAGTGAACCAGTGGATCTTTCTGTCTCTCCTTCTCTCTGTGTATCTGCATTTCCGACAAAAAAAATTAATTTAAAAACAAAACTTGTAAAAATTTCAGAAGCGTCTTCCAATTAGTTAAAAGTCCTTCCCACTAACCAGGTCTCGCAAGTGCAGCAGGAGCCCAAGAGCTTGGGAAGCCATCACCTGCTCCCTCGGAAGGAGTTACAGATCAGAGAAATTAGAATCAGACGTTGCAACTGGGAATCCAACCATGACACTACCAAATGGGACACTGACACTATGATAGGCAGCATACTCATCTTAACCAGTGACCTAACCACGAGGCCAAAGCTCACTCCAGAAATTCTATATACTATGTCACAGTACCAAAATAATTTCTTTGAGGGCCCGGTGCAGTAGCCTAGTGGCTAATAGTCCTCACCTTGCACAAACCAGGATCCCATATGGGTACTGGTTCTAATCCCGGCAGCCCCACTTCCCATCCAACTCTCTGCTTATGGCCTGGGAAAGCTGAAAGCCCTGGGACCTTCCACCCACGTCGGAGACCCGGAAAAGGTTCCTGGCTTTGCAATCAACGTGAGCTTGAGAGTTAATGTTATTGATAATGTCTTAGTGGGTCGGCCTTTAACTACACACAGGAGTACAATTAAGCCCATGCCATTTCTGGACACCTTACCGTGTGCCTACCCATCGCCCTGGAATCTGGTCCAGATATGTACCATGCCTTCTGGGAAACGGCTTGATAAGAACCTTACAAACTAATGAATGGGATGAGAGTATGAGCTGAAACTGCTATGGCAAAAAATATAGTTACTGCAACCTTAAAGGTTAGCCTGTCTTTGCAATTTCTTTGGAGCATAGGAAATATGTCTGTTTTGGCCTCTTGTATAATTTTGACTAGAAGAATTAAAGGATGATTTTATTAACATTATAGAGATATGCTTCTAATAATTGTGATTGTTTATGGGGTTACAGAGCCTGTAGTTGTAGGGACATTTTATACTTGAAACTTTTGCCTTGGATTTTTATGTTTTCGTTCCCTTGTAACATATTTCTCCCATTAAGCGATGGGCAAGTGGTGGAAGCAGAAATGTGGTAGGAATGCGTTACTGACGAACAGGAATGGCACGCGCCTTTGGCCTGGAGTCCTGGCCGTCACCCGACGGCTGCTGAAGCATGAATAATGCCTTGCTTGGACAAAAATGATTACGGTAACTTACAGAATTATCTCGAAGAGCACCTGGTTGACCATAAAATAAGTAAAAAAATAAAATAATGAAGCATCTGTGCATATCTACTTAGTCAGGGAGTAAAAACAGAACAAGCAAACGCTTGTGCAGAGGCTTGTGACGTGTGTGAGTAAATGAAACAGCTTCTTCTGGAGCTGCAGCAAGAGGGCGCCAAGCGCCAGTGTCCGTGTCTCATCACCCACTCCACACAGCGGGAGCCCTGGCGCCACCGGGAGCAGCACTGTCATCCCTTTTCCTCTCGCTGCAAATCTTCCTTTCAAATAATAAATCTTTACCAATCAACAGACACATGGAAAGGTACTGAATATCATCACACATCAAGAAAAATGGAAATTAAAGCTATTACGAAACAAAAAAATCCTACCACGACCAACCAGATAACGGAGAGAACGTGGAGCAACTGGGAATGTCACGCCGCTTGTTGAACTGCTCTCCGGAACAAGCAGCCAAGGAACTGAATCTGCTCTTTGCTCTCTGACGTGTATTTAGAAAATATCACATAGAAAAAAAGTTAAGAAATGTTAGTAATATTTAGTAATGTTTCAGATACTTAATTCAATGTGAAAAATACATAACAAAAATGTAATTCCAAAAATTATTTAAGAAATCAGATCATCAAGTTGTGACCAATCTGTGGAGTTAAGACTGAAATACAGGATCTGGCACAGTAGCCTAGAGGCTACAGTCCTCGCCTTGCACATTACCAGGATCCTATATCGGTGCTGGTTCGCATCCCAGCTGCCCCACTTCCCTTCCAGCTCCCTGCTTGTGGCCTGGGAAAGCAGTAGAGGACAGCCCAAAGCCTTGGGACCCTGCACTTGCATGGGAGAGCCAGAAGAAGCTCCTGGCTCCCGGCTTTGGATCAGCTCAGCTCTGGCCACTCCGGCAGCTGTGGCTATTTGTGGAGCGAACGAGTGGAGGAAGATACTTCTCTCTGTCTCTACTTCCATGCAGCTCCCTGCTTGTTGCTTGCGGCTGTTGCAGCCACTTAGGGAGTCACAATCTCTCTCTCTGCAACTCTGCTTTCAAATAAAAATAACTCTTAAAAAAAAAACTGTAAATATTCTTAACTCAAGGGGTCTATTAATTGTGGCATATTTCAAAGAAACAGAATATAGCAAACAAATGAAGCACCTGCCACAGATGCCTAAGTCGAGTAATTCTCGTATTCAGAGTTGTAAGAATAAACATAATAGCAAAAGACGGCTTTCACATGAAGTTTTAAGAAGGGGAAAGGGGCACCAATGAACTAATCCTGAAAGAGGTATACAGAAGTGACAAAGTTTCGCCCACCCATAATCAAGCACCACGGAGGAACTTCATCCAGCTGCAGGATCCCGACAGCCAACCCGACACGACCATAAATCCCGCGACTCAAACGCTCCACGACATGGTTACAGATTTCCAACTGAAGAGTGACACAACCGCACGGCAAGAAACCAGGCAGCCCCGGCGACACCTGCCTTCACCCGGCCACGGTCACGACCACACACTCGCCACACACAGACAGCTCGCCAGTGTTCTGGAGTGTTCCCACCAGACCCCCGCGGCACACTGTCACGCAATCACACCGCACGCTGGAGAAAAACTTTCCTCATCCGAACACACACAACGCCGCGCGCACGCGGGGACATCTCGGCGCGTGTTCTGCTGAGAAACTCAGCACTTCTCCCAGAATCGCACGTCACTCACCCAATACCACCCCGCACACCCACGAAACCGCGCCGTCCCAGTCTCACCGCTCGGCCACGCAGCGCCGAGGCTCGCGCTCCGGCCCCGCCCTCCCCGCAGGTCTTCACCTCAGGCCTGCCCGATCCGGCAGCCCGCATCCCTCTCCGCCCCGACTCGGCTCCAGCGAAGCCCCGCGGCTCCCGCCAGCGCGTGACTTGGAGACTCCCTTCCCGCGAGAGTCACGCCACGCTGAGGGGGCCTCTGGGAAATGTAGTCAAGGACCGGGCCCTCGGCTGTCTGCCGCCCGATCTAGATGATGGCGCCCGTCGGGGATCCGCGCCACCAGCCCGGGCTCCCCCACGCAAGTCGCCTCAACGCGGGTGAGATATGGTTGTTTTGTGGGACCCGCACTGCTGTGTCCAGCAGTTGGACGCCCTAAGGAAGAGGAGGACAAATGGAAAGGAAAGCTGACGCGCGCCGCTGGGCCTTCTGGGAAATGTAGTTGGAAGCAGGAGAACATGCTAGTGAGGAGCAATGGAGCGTTCGAAGTTCTGAGAACCCCGGCGCTAGGCCATTCAAGAAGTGCTCAGCCGCTGACTCCTCCGGTCGCCGTCTTGTCACTTGTTCAGGGATAAGTGTGGCTTAGTGTTCCTCCTGGCAGAAACACTGTCAAAGGTTCGAGATCAGGACCCTGATGGGTTTCCTAAATTGCAGATGCGCTGGTGTTACTCTGGGCTGGGAACCCCTGAGTGAGTGTTGGGGGCCCTGGGGCGGGTGTGTTTGTGGCTTAGCTTGTTGAAGGGTCATAGAAACTACTTCATGATTTAGTGTGTATGTAAGAAATACATAAAACCTATAGGGAAAAAAATTGTAAACTCTGCTCAAAGACATACACACACACACACACACACACACACACACAAAAAAAACTAAATGAAAAATTAGGCTATATTCTAAGCTAAAATACACCATACACATACCATTTTATCTTATGAATTTAACAATTTCAGTGGAAATAATGTATTTTTCAAACTAGAAATGGAAAAACGCAAGGACAACACATGTGGAAGGGGAAGAACGATACAGGGCAGCTGGAGCTAGTTTTTTATTATTATTATTGTTATTAACATTGTATTATGTGATACAGTTTTATAGGCACTGGGGATTCCCCCCACCCCTCCCACAACCCTCCCCCCATAGTGGATTCCTCCACCTTGCTGCATAACCACAGTTCAAGTTCAGTTGAGATTCCTTCATTGCAAGCATATACCTAGCATAAAGTCCAGCATCTTATTGTCCAGATAAGTTCAGTGGCCTCTTGGGGAGACCTTCTCTGGTCTGAAGGTAGCGCTAACAGGGTAAAGTTCCGGTCAGTTAAGAAAGCTTTGGTTCATCTACTCCATGGAATACTACTTAGCTATTAAAAAAAAACAAAATGCAGTTTTTTGTGGCTAAATGGGCCCAACTGGAAACTATAATGCTAAGGGAAATGAGTGAATCCCAAAAGGTGAGATACCACATGTTTGCCTTGATTTAACCTGTAATTTTTGTTTGGTTGTTATTTTTTGAACCTGTCTCAACCCAGATGTTTTGGAGAATTGAACTTGCATTATTTTTAACATATTGTTTACTCAATACTATGTCAATTAATTCCATAACGTTGTATATTGATGCTGACGTTTTGTTGGGGCTTTTAACTGACTGGAGCTAGTTTTATCATAACAAAACATACTCTAGAGCCCCACGGCGTGGCCTACCGGCTAAAGTCCTCGCCTTGAATGCACCAGGATCCCATATGGGTGCCGGTTCTCATCCCATCCACTTCCCATCCAGCTCCTGCTTGTGGCCTGGGAAAGCAGTTGAGGACGGCCCAAAGCTTTGGGACCTTGCACCCGTGTGGGAGACCCGGAAGAGGTTCCTGGTTCCCGGCTCCGGAACAGCGCAGTACCAGCCGTTGTGGTCACTTGGGGAGTGAATCATCGGATGGAAGATCTTCCTCTCTGTCTCTCCTCCTCTCTGTATATCTGGCTTTGTAATGAGGATATATAAATCTTAAAAAGAAAAAGAAAAGACACAGGGGTCCGAGGATCAGGAGTCCAAGGCAAAGATTTTATGGTAAGCTTTCGTTATATCCATCCTACCCAGGTCTCCAAACAACCTTTAGGAAAGGACAATCCTGGGACTAGTTTGGTACAAGGAGACCTGATCTAGTTAGTGAGACATTTCCACAATACTGTAGTTACAAACATACAAGGCACTAGTTAAAACTGCACTGCCTAGTTCTCATGGACTTGCATTCTTTCTCTAGGTCATTAGGCTACAGTTGTTTTCTGAATAGAAAAGCACACCTAGGAGGGAGTGGACCAGGGAACACTAGGGCAGAGCCGTCACCTAGGCAACATCCTAAGGGAAACCATTTGAGGGCCAGCCAGCCGGTCCATGTGTCCAAGGCTCCCCAAAGATCAAAGGCATTCCTCAGGTTCATGGCAGGTTACCTCTCAGGTCTCAGTTATCTAAAGTCAGCACAACAGAGGATGCAGCAATGAGACCAAAATGAAGAATTTTGTTGTGCGGTGAATGGGACATCTCAAATCAGGTAGGAAAAGGTAGACTTTTCAATCCAGGTCATAGGTACAATTCGATAACCTTTCCGGAGAAAAAGAAAATATATTAGATCCTTTACTAAGCACAGGGTCAGTTGCAAATGACTTGAAACTTAACATCTTGAGCAAAATTTTAAATTATGATTGGGTGGATGATGCTCTAAAGTGGGAAGAGCAAGACGAAAGAGACCTCCAACACAAAGCCTGAACAGGTTCATGCAGAGAAACCAGAGAGGGGCCTCCTACCACCACCACGCCAACTGCACAGAGAGCCGTCTCCTGCGGCGGGTGTTTATTTAGTCCAGGCAGCCGAGGTTTGCGAGTGTGCTGCCATTAGGAGTGGCTGAGCTAGCCAAGAAAGAATGCAGGGCGTTAGGATACGCTGTCAGCAGGCCAGAGAGTAAAATAGATCTGAGTTTTTTCTTCTTGCTGCATTGGTGACCATGCAAGGGAAAAGGTCTGAGTTTAACATCCAAAGCTGAAACATACGGGGTTGAGCAGTCCTGCTAAAGCATGGAATGGAAAAGGAACATGGTAAACTATACAAGCACTGGAAAGGGACTGGACTTGTGGCACTGCACGTTAAACCACCCCTTGGGATGCCTGCATTTTATATCATACTTGAGGGTTCCGCTTCTGATCCAGTTGAGGGTAATGTGTCTGAGAAGCAGTGAATGACGGCTCAAGGATTTGGTTTCTGCCACCCATGTGGGAGACTGCTACCCAGCTAGACCTCCTAGATGGAGCTCTAGGCTCCCGGCTTTGTTAGCCTTTTTAAAATATTTATTTATTTTTGGGTGCCGGGACCCATACGGGATCCCGGTGCATGCAAGGCAAGGACTTTACCCACTAGATTACTGTGCCGGGCTCACTATGTCAACATTTTTAAGCACATTGTGAGGAGTTTTGGCCATAGACCACACACTCAAGTGATGTGGTGCAGTGATGACACTCTTTTTTTTTTTTTAAGATTTATTTCTTTTTATTGCAAAGTCAGATATACAGAGAGAAGGAGGAAAGACGGAGAGGAAGATCTTCCGTCCGATGATTCACTCCCCAAGTGACTGCAATAGCTGGTGCTGTGCCGATCCAGAGCCAGAAGCCAGGAACTTCCTTCAGGTCTCCCACACGGGTGCAGGAACCCAAGGCTTTGGCCGTCCTCGACTGCTTTCCCAGGTCACAAACAGGGAGCTGGGTGGGAAGTAGGACTGACCGGGATTAGAACTGGCATTCATATGGGATCCCGGCGTGTTCAAGGCAAGGATTTTAGACATTAGGACACAGCGCCAGGCCCAGTGATGACATTCTTAATAGAGAGGTAACAGAGGCAGTTCTGGCGAATTTGTCTGTTTATTAGCAACCAAGCACAAGCTTATATAGAGCGGGTCCAGAGAAACAAGAATCAGGGTAGTAACAATATCCCACTGGATATAAAAAATCTATTACATTTTATAAGCCTGGGCAGTCAGTACAACCGTCATGTACTTTGCCAGATGGCACTGTGTGGCCCACCACAACTAATGTAACTCACCCACATCCTGAAGTTGTTTATTACGAAACTGTCACAAGATTACCACAAGATGGAGATGGGCTGGGGTATGCAGAGCGAGGGGGCGACCAGGTTATTGGAAGGTGCCCAATTACCAGAAGAGGTTGAGGGGGAGGGAAATACCCAGAGGGTCTTCTACCAACTGCGTGTGTCTGCAGGGACCTCAGGACAGGAGACAGAAGGGTCTCAAGGCTTATGACAAAAGCAACAGGGGGTCTCGAGCCTCTAGACATGCAATGAAAACACGTTCCGGCTGCCCCCCGCAGAGGTAAGACGAGACCCATTCTGGCACTTGCTCCCCACAGGACATAGTTTAAGTCTGAGTGTATTCACATTACTGCGCAGCCAATCTCCAGCCCCTTTTCTTCCTGCAAGATTCAGACTCCGTACTACTGACCAAATCCTTGTTTCCTGAGTTCCTATTAATGACCATCCTCCTTTCTGTTTTGATTAATCTGACTAGATACTTGGTGGAATCATTCAATATTTCTTTTTGACAGGCTTAGTTCATGTTGCATGTTACAAGCTTCATCCATGTCAAAGAAATCTGTTGGGATTTGTTTCTTTATAACGCCGAATCACATCGTACACTGCGTGCTGTTTTATCTGTCAGTGAATAACTACATTGCTTCCCCTGATGGAATACAAAGTTAATGAGTACAAACATCTCTCTTTGTCAAGCCATCTTATTCTGCTAGGCCTTTTGTTGAGGATGTTCATCCACGTAGCTGCCCATGAGGCAAAGATTGATAAGACTGGATGCAATAGTGAAAAAAGGAGCAAAGCTCGATGAGTTAGACAGCAGGAAACTCTCTCCCCTTCTGTCTCTGCCCTTCACATAAAAATAAAGCATTAAAAAAAGTAGGGCCCGGCGCAGTAGCCTTGCAGTTAAAGTCCTCACCTTGCATGCTCCGGGATCCCATATAGGTGCTGGTTCTAATCCGCAGCAGCCCTGCTTCCCATCCAGCTCCCTGTGTCTGCCTTGGGAAAGCAGTGGAGGACGGCCCCGGGCCTTGGGAGCTCTACCCACATGGGAGACCCAGAAAAGGCTCTGGGCTTCTGGCTTCAGATCGGCACATTTCAGGCCATCGCAGTCACTTGGGGAATGAATAATTGGATGGAAAATCTTCCTCTCTGTCTCTCCTCCTCTCTGTATATCTTTCCAATAAAAATATAAAACAAATCTTCAAAAAAATTTGATCAAGGGTCAAGTTTTTAAAATGAAGTCTATTTCTGGGGTCTCAGGATCCTTTTCACTTTTAGCAAAATTGCTAACCTGGAGGTCCATGTCACACTTTCCCTATATCTTCTTACTGTGGCTCCTTGTATTTAATTATTTTGCAAGTAAGTAAGATAGACAGTATGTGGGGACTGGCCTTGTGTTTGATCTGGTTAAGCCGCCACCTGCAATCTGATATGCCATGTGCGCACTGGTTAAGCAGCGGTTCCGCACCACCTGCTCCTCACAGTGATTTATAATGAAAGATGAACTCAGATTTTCAAGTTTGAAAAAAATCACCAAGGCAAACTTCATTTATTATGAAATGTCAAAACACAATAAGCCTAGTAATGTTTGCTAACATGGCAATAGCATAGGAATAGCAGCAGTGAAACAATGAGGACATGAACGTTTAATGTCAGAGTTTCAGCTGATTGTCAAGCAATCAAGTGGGTAAGAAATTATATGGCATACTTGCCGTCTGAATAGCAAAGGAATGGTGTCAGTAAGAGAGTAACAGTACTAGAACACAAAAGCCTAAATTCAAAACATCTGTAAAAGCTGGAAGATAGGTTGGCAGCCTCCAAACATAAAGAAAAGCTGGTGTGGCTGGTTGCCTGGTTGGGTCAGACGAAGCTATTCAGATGTGTTAAGAAGCTGCATGCGCTGTGACTCTTAGCAATGTGTAAATACTACACATCAACATAAAAGCGTTGCCTTGGGAGACATGCTAGCTCCTCTGGGCTTTAAACTGTCATCACCCACATCTCTCACAACTGTGCCCTGAAGTGACAGTGGCCTTAGGAGACAGACTATTTTAAGATGTTCCAGATAAGAATAGTTACTATTTCCCAGTGCAGAACTGCACCACACTCTCCCAAGCATGGTGCTAGGGAGAACTATGGACCTGGGAACTATGCTTGCTTCAGTGTTGGCAGGACTGACAGCAATGCTGTCAAGGTGTTTTCTTACCCCGATAAATCAACCCGATGTTGCGGTAACACCTTTTCTGTTGTATTTGCTTGCACTCCACATCTGTGGCTGTTGTTGATGGGCATACAGAGCTGATCTGATCTGAAGCCAGGAGCCAGGAGACTTCTCCAGGCCTCCCACGCAGGTGCAGCGTCCCAAGGCTCTGGGCCATACTCGACTGCTTTCCCAGGCCACAAGCAGGGAGCTGGATGGGAAGTGGAGCTGCCGGGATTAGAACCGGCACCCTTATGGGATCCAGGTGTATGCAAGGTGAGGACTTTAGTCACTAGACTACAGCACGCCCAAAAGTCAAAAGATATTTGAAACCAACATGAAAACTTAGGAAAACTTACCACATTTTGGTTGCATAGAGATTTGACCTTTTCAGTGGAACTCTCATTGACAAAAGTAGATCAGTTCCTAATGTCTACTAAATGAAGAGGTCATCAAACTTGACAAAAAGATACTTTCATAGGAAATGTAATATAAAATTCACAAAATAAAGTGAGGCTTATACTTACTGAAGCATAAATTCACATCATTTAATCAAATATATATAGCAAGACTGCAGGAAGTAATCCCTTGGAAATGACAACATCTTAAAATTTATGACACTGTAATCTCTTCCCTGTCATCTCTCCCACAGAAACAAAAACATGCGTAACTTTAAGGGCCAATTACAAGTATTCTAATGTATATTTATGGTAGCAAGTGAGCAACAGATGAATCAAATAAATTTACAATATACAGTATCATAGAACACTATATAGTAATTCCTTACTTGACTCCATTTGATCATCACAAACACTGCTCTGTTTCCGAGTGCAGGACCCTGGTCAGTGCAAGGCACCAAAATATATTTGGTCTCAAGTTCCAAGCTGTACTGGTGACTGCTTCATGAGCAGAAAACGCTGGAATTACGAAGTCTCTAATTACAGCAATGTGAGCAAAGTAAAACAACACAGGATACTTGAGCAGACGCCTGGAGGTGCACATGCTATGTAACTTACTGTGTTACCTCAGAAAATTACCCTCTTCCATTTTCATTCAGCTCTGAACAGCCACATTCAAAGATGCTAGTGTTAGGCAGTGCAGTAGTATTAATATTATCTTATAATCGGGATTAAAAGAACTAATACACTTATAATTAATTAGTAATCAGGGTCAGTGATAAGAATGAATATGTTATCACTATTCAAAAGCAGTATTGATAGCACTTTATTAAAAAAAGAAGTAAGGAAAATTGCTCATTAAGATTTGTTGCACTTAAACAGTGTGCAAGTCAAGAGCGCCCTTTCTTCCCAGCACCATTTCCCTTAAACAAACCAGAGAAGAGAGGGAATTATTTAGTGTATCTGGCAGAATAGAGAAGAAAATTAATTTGCAGGTTACAATTGAAACTAAAATCCAAAAGTTGATGTTTCACTCAGCAGCTTACAAAACACTTTTGAGGAACAGTTGTATCACTTAAAGCTAATAATACCAATGCTGGTTATGTGGAATATTATTTCTGACTTCGGCAAAACTCTTCAGTTTAGCAAATATCTTCTGTGATCCAAACTGCTGCAAAATGATGCACCCTAAAGGAACATACAGGAGGAAATCGAAGCAACTGAAATTGTCTTTTCAACTTAAAACTAATATTTCATATTTTATTGGTAAAGATATGATTTGTGGAATAGTCATCACCTGGTAACTATGGAAACACATACTAAATCCTATATTCAAAATCCTTCATATAATATGGCATAGTATTTGCCTATAATCTAGGCAATATTCTCCCATATACTTTATTTTTTTTTAAGATTTATTTTATTTTTATTGGAAAGGTGGATATACAGAGAGGAGAGACAGAGAGGAAGATCTTCCGTCCGATGATTCACTCCCCAAGTGAGCGCAACGGCCGATGCTATGCTGATCCGAAACCAGGAGCCTCTTCCTTGTCTCCCACACGGGTGCAGGTTCCCAAAGCTTTGGGCCGTCCTCGACTGCCTTCCCAGGCCACAGGCAGGGAGCTGGATGGGAAGAGGGGCCACCGGGACTAGAACCGGCGCCCATATGGGATCCCAGGCGTGCAAGGTGAGGACCTTAGCCACTGCGCCACTGCGCTGGGCCCTCTCCCATATACTTTAAAATGTTTGTTAATGGGTCCGGCATCGTAACCTAGTGTCTAAAGTCCTTGCCTTGAATGCGCCAGGATTCCATATGGGCGCCTGTTTTAATTCTGGCAGCCCCGCATCCCATCCAGCTCCCTGCTTGTAACCTGGGAAAGCAGTGGAGGATGGCCCAGGACCCTGGGACCCTGCACCCATGTGGGAGACCTGAAGGAAGAAGCTCCTGGCTCCTGGCTTCAGAACAGCTCGGCTCTGGCTGCAGCGGTCACTTGGGGACTGAATCAACAGACCGAAGATCTTCCTATCTGTCTCCTCTCTGTATATCTGACTTTGCAATACAACTAAATAATTCTTTAAAAATGTTTGTTAATACCTGATTCAATTTAAATGGCATGTAAGTAGTTGTTATACTGTACCATTGAGGGAATAACAACAGGAGAAAAAGGTCTGTGCATGTTCATTATTGATGGCTAAGTATTTTTAGTCATGACTGTCTGAATTTACAGATGCATGAATGAAGGGCTGTTTTCTGTAAAATATTAACATCTGACTGAGTTTATATAAACTGTCATTTTGAGCAGCATGATGAGATCACATAATATCCCACTCCATCCCAGACATGACATGATCCAACAATCCACACCATATGCGCTACCTGCCTGTCACCTGCCAGCTGCCTCAGATACCTTGACAATCACCACAGTACCACCCATTTGCTCTGTAGCCTTTATTTTACTTCATAACAGCCCCGAAGCACAAGGGCAGTAACATTAGCAATTTGGGTCAAAGAACATCTGTAAAGTGCTTCCTTTAAGTGAAAAGATAAAAGCTCCCAACTTAAGGAAAGGAAAAAAGAAATCATGCTAAGGTTGTTAAGATTTATGGTAAGCTATTGTTGTTTTTTTTTTTTTTTTTTTTTTTTTTTTTTAAAGATTTATTTTTTTATTATTTTTTCATTGGAAAGGCGGATATACAGAGAGGAGAGACAGAGAGGAAGATCTTCCGTCCGATGGTTCACTCCCCAAGTGAGCGCAACGGGCGATACTATGCCGATCCGAAGCCAGGAGCCTCTTCCGGGTCTCCCACGCGGGTGCAGGTTCCCAAAGCTTTGGGCCGTCCTCGACTGCTTTCCCAGGCCACAAGCAGGGAGCTGGAGGGGAAGCGGGGCTGCCGGGATTAGAACCGGCGCCCATATGGGATCCCGGGGGTGCAAGGCGAGGACCTTTAACCACTTGCGCCACCGCGCCGGGCCCAAGCTATTGTTGTTAATAAGTAGGCAGGGGAATACACCATAGAAAAACATAGAGCATACGTGTTTCTATGTATAGGGGTCAGCACTACCTGCAGTTTCAGATTATCTACTGGTGGTCTTGAAACCTATCCCCAGTAAATAAGAGGCACCACTGTAATACATACTTGAGGTACAACCTCCTCCAATAGCTAGCTAACATTTATATCTACTTACATGTAAGAAACAGCACTGAGAAGAGTAAATAAATATTTAACCACATCCCAGAAACTAATATTTTGTGTTGTGACACTGACTTGAAACCTTCCTTTAAAAAAAAAAATTATTGGAAAGTCAGAGAGGAGGAGAAAGATTTTCCATCTGATGATTGGCTTCCCAAGCAGCTGCAACAGCTGGAGCTGAGCCGATCCGAAGCCAGGAGCCTCCCCTGGGTCTCCCATGCAGGTGCAGGGTCCCAAGGCTTTGGGCCATCCTCCACTGCTTTCCCAGGCCACAAGCAGGGAGCTGGATGGGAAGCAGGGCTGCTGGGATTTGAACTGGTGTCCATATGGGATCCCGGCTTGTGCAAGACAAGAACTTTAACCATTAGGCTATGACGCTGAGCCCCAAACCTTCCTTTTTAATGAAAATATATTTAGAGATAAAGCTGAAGCATGCTTTAATTGCCATGCTTGATCATATTGACCATCTGTCCACCTTTTATCTATAGGCAATCACTTTAGGAACTGAGAGTGTGTCCCTCCAATTCGTTCTTTGTAGGATCCCATATGGGCACCAGTGTGCCACAGCTGCTCCACCTCCCTTCCAGTTCCCTGCTTGTGGCCCAAGAAAGCAATAGAACATGGCCCAAAGCCTTGGACTCCTGCACTCGCATGGGAGACCCAGAAGAGGCTTCTGACTCCTTGTTTTGGATTACTCAGTTCCAGCCACTTTGCCCATTTGGGAAATGGATGGAAGATTGTTCTGTTACTCCTCTCTGTAAAATCTACCTTTCCAATAATAATAAATATTTTTAAAATGCTTATCCATAATCAATGCTTAGTACTAGGATTCTTTAGTGTTGATTTTGTTCAAATCCACACAGGTATCATTACAGCATATCTACCACTTCATGATTTTTCTCAACTCTATTTTTCATAATTTTTGCGGCTAATACAGATATTTGTTGTACCTAACTGATGGAGAAATATATAGGATTTTATTAATCTATTTCACAAAGAGATAGCCATCTGTTGCCACATGTGGACTATGATATTTCATGCTGCAATAAACAGACTGTTACATGACTCCCTGCACAAGTGTCAGTTTCTTGGGTAAATGCATAAACATCAGTGATATTAATATGGTATTCTGGAATCAATTTTCAAAATATTTTACTATACCAAGTTTTTTTATGCTTAAATTCTACTAGCTTTAGGTCTGCATTCTAGCCTTCAGCATTCGTTATATTCTTAACAATCATTATCTCAGTGTACACTCACAGCAGAGTCTACTATCTACCCAGATGAAGAAAACTACGCTGAGACTTTTAAATAATTATCCTTGATTTCCCTCACTGGGAGGCCTCCACTATCACTCCCATTCGTGCATAGTTCAGATTCAACATTCTAACTCAACCTCAATTTTCCAGGACTGCCTCAATTTTGATATATTTTTCAACAAGTTATACATGTAGCAAAACATATAACAGAAATAACCATTTCCAATTCTTTTTTTTTTTTTCTTAGATTTGTCTTAAAGAATCTGACGATCTTCCAGAACGTGATGATTAATGTCCATGACTGGATGCTAACTTCATTGAGAATGTTCCTCCAAGTATACCATTTATATTTCTTGTCGCAGTTTTGATGACACACTTTGATTATACTGTAACACTTCTTATGAAACTTTACATTTTTAAAGTTTTCACCTGGCTGCTGAACAATGTTCCAAATTCATGAAGTATATTCTGAAGGTCTTCGTAAATCCATGGCACTTCCAGACCTTTAATGGGTGTGAATTCTCTGGTGTCTAATGTGGTGTGACTTCTGGCTGAAAGCTTTGCCACATTCACTACATTGATAAGGCTTTTCACCAGTGTGGATTCTCATATGCAGGGCAAGTGTTGAGAACTGAGAAAATGCTTTTCCACATTCATTGCAACCATAGGGTTTCTCACCTGTATGGCTTCTCATATGTACAGTAAGAGATGAGCTCTGACAGAAGGCTTTCCCACATATCTTACACTCGTAGGGCTTATCACCTGTATGTATTCTCACATGTACAATAAGCGATGTGATTCGAGAGAAGGCTTTTCCGCATTTATTGCATTCATAGGGTTTCTCTCCTGTATGGATATTGTGATGCTTAATGAGATATTGCTTCTGTCTAAAGATTGTCCCACATTCGTTACACTTATAGGGTTTCTCTCCAATATGAATTTTTTCATGTTCAGTGAGATTTGATTTGCCGCTGAAGGCTTTCCCACATTCTTTACACGTATAGGGTTTCTCTCCAGTATGACTTCTCTGGTGTCTAATGAGGCTGGACTTCTGGATGAAAGCTTTCCCACATCCTTTGCATTCATAGGGCTTCTCTCCAGTATGGATTCTCTGATGGATAATGAGGTTTTCCTTCTGGCTAAACGCTTTTCCACACTCATTACATTTAAAGGGTTTCTTTCCACTATGAATGTTCTGATGTTTTATGAGGTATTGCTTCTGGCTGAAGGCTCTTCCGCACTGACTGCATTCAAACGGCTTCTCTCCAGTATGAATTTTCTCGTGCTCAGAGAGATATGATTTGCCACTAAAGCTTTTGCCACATTCCTTACATGCATAGGGTTTGTTTCCCGAGTGGTGTCTTGGATGCCTGAGGAGGGTTGGCCCCTGAACTGAAGCTTTCCCACATTCATAAGGTTTCTCACCAGTGTGATGTTTCTGATGAGAAAGGAGGTTTCCTTTCTGGCTGAAGGCTTTTTCACACTTACCACACTTGTAGGACTTCTCTCCTGTATGACTTCTCAAATGCACAGTAAGGGATGAAAGCCGAGAGAGCTCTTTGCCACACTCAGTACATTCATGTGATGTCTCTCCACTATGCATGTTCATGTGCTCTCTGAGATTCTCCTTCAGGCTAAAGACTTCTCTGCACTGATCACATTCAAAGCGTTTCTCTGCACTGTGAATCTCATTATGCGGAAGGAGATCTGATTCATGCTGAAGGCTCTCCAACATTCCGATCACGTGCATGGATTTCCCTTCAAAGAGAGTTCCTTCTTATTATACGAGGATGTTGTAGCGATGCTGGCTTTTCCACATTCATTTAATCCATGTATACTTCCTAATGTTAACGTTCAGGTACCTAATGATCTTGTATGATGTGAGACATTTCCTACATGGATTATCCTGAGACGAGGTCATTTGGAAA